AGGGACTCACTATGAGTGGAAAGAAAGCTCGAGAATACCAGGAAAAATCCCACTGGTACGCAATCCGTTAACCTCTAGCTGCTAATGGGGTGCTCTGAAAGGAGAGCTTTCATCTGGGGGACTCTACGATGGGGGCAGACCAAATCTCTGGAAGGAGAGTACTGCTCTGGAAGGAGAGTGCTGCTCTGGAAGGAGAGTGCTGCTCTGAAAGGAGAGCTTTCATCTAGAGGACTCCACGGTGGGGGCAGACCAAATCTCTGGAAAGTGACGTCCCCGTCTGTAGGCCTCAGCTGGAGGGGTACATACAGTGTCGAGTTGAGACCTGGGAGCTAGTCAAAAAACAGAAGCTGTCAAATACCGATAAGCAATTATAGCAATTATGTTCCTAAGTATATGTGTGGGTAGGCAGGGTTGTATAGATAGGTTGCACCCAAATATACTTATACATCAAATAAGATAGTTCAAGGCATCCCACCAGTTTAGTCCCGTAGGGTTTCTGGGTGTCTATGGGTGTCTTATATTTATTTATACTATGTAATATTTTGTATCTTTATTGAGTAGTAACAACACATTAAATAAGGGTCATCCCATGTGTGCTTAATAAAGACCCACAAAACCTCATTTTTATCGGGTATCGGAGACAAAAAAGTGGCCTACTTGGTAAGGCCAAGAGCTAAGCAGCGCGTTTTCAACGATGGATTATTTACAAACAATGGTAATAGTAAGTCTTAGTTACCACTGATCCAGCACTGGACTCATATAGGGCACAGGGACCTATGATGCTCGGTGGGATAAGAAAATCAATAATAAATTGAGCAATATGATCAGTTGCTAATCTAAATCCTTTATCCAGGGTTCTCGGCCAGACCGGAAAAAGGCAAGAGAATGGGAACGTACGCGCAAGCAGATAAGCAGAAGTATAATTAGCAATATGATGGCAATATTAAAGTAAATCACGGAGAGGTATAAAACTGTATTTTTGTTAGTGATATTAATCATTAGAACGATGAGCAGAACTCTGAAATGGACAAATATACATCATTTTCCCCTCACACCCAAACTCAGAATCACCAAAATTGTTATTCGTTGAGAAAACGCAAGGGAATAGTGGAATACAAGTCTAGTGAAAGGCATGCATGTTATGTAGTAGGTTGCAATATTTTAGTTGTTGGAAATTCAAAAATTAATAGTATGAACAATGTCAATAGGAAGCAGAGGAAAAACACTAATGATGAGGGAAGTGATGTCTCGGTAAGCACAATGGAAAAAATTGTAGCCCTTTATATCCAAATATTAATTGACTTATTGTCTCATTAACAATCCAAATGAAATTCTGTCAGGATGGTGGCAACAA